TCTGAACTGGTTCTGATACCAATTCCAGTAGAGAACTGGTATAAGAGAGGATACCAATTGGTAGAGAGGAAGTAGGGGACTCCACACCAGCAAAAGTGATTTTTCCACAGCAGCAGGGTGTCTGAAAATCCACCTCAATTCTGACACTATATACTCAGAAATGGCATTGGATTCCACAAGTTAACAGTTCAGCCCTACAAGACGGTGCCCCCTACTACCACACACACATACACACGCACTTCAGAAGGCAGTCTCAAGTCCAGGTTATCACCTGTACTTCTGACCAACTGGCTATAAATCACATGTTCCATGACCTCCTCCCCTCTTGGGTTTGATTAATTTTCTAGAGCAGCTCACAGAACTCCAAGAAATGTTTTACTTACTAGGTCAGCAGTTTATTATAAAAGGATGTGGCTCTGGAACAGCCAGATGAAAGAGCTACACAGGGCAAGGTACTGGAGGATGGAACATCCAGCTTCTTTTCACTCTCTCCTGGCAGGCCATTCACCCAGCAGTTCCAGGTATTCACCGGCCAGGATGCTCTCCAAAGCGTCTTCTTTGGGGTTTTATAGAGGCTTCATTACACAGCTGTGATTGATTAACTCATTGGACACTGGCAATTGAGTCAACCCTGTGACCCCTTCCCCCTCACCAGAAGTTGGAAAGTGAGACTAAAAGTTTGAACCTTCAGCAGTTTCCCTGCTGGTCCAGTGGCTAAGATTCTGTACTTCCACTGCAGAGGGTGTGGGTTCTACTCCTGGTCAGGGACTAAAATCCCACATGCTACTCAGCCAAGAAACTAAAAATAAAAAAGAGAGAGAGAGAGCTTTGTGTTTTAAAAGTTCCAACCTTCTAATCACATGCTGACTTTCCAGATAACCAGCCGCCATACTTAGGTGGGGTCCAAAAGTCACCTCATTAAGATAACAAAAAACATCATTCTGCTGTCATCACTTCGGAAGATCCAAGCATTTTAGTAGTTCTATGTCACAAATGGTGTCAAAGAACAAATATATATTTCTTACCTTATATCACACTATCACAATGCTTAGGAAATTGCAGTGTAATAATGGTGATCCTCACACCTCACCACTGACTTCACTTGCTTGGCCGGTCTGTGCACATGGGGTGGCCATGGAGAAAGGTTGGATTATCATAACCAGAGTCAGAGTGACTCCCATTACATACTCCTTCCCATGTGTTGTTTGCTAGAGCAAATCAAAACATGTCCTGCCACCTGCTATCCAGCTAATGATTTGACAAATGCTCTTCTCTCCTTACCAATTAGTAAGGACAATTAGAAACATTTCACTTTCAGCTGGCAAGAATAGTCACTCTTAGACCTCAAGACAATTCTCCCACTCCATGACAGACAAGAGCCACAGTCATCTAGACATCCTACAGGACACCAAGCTGATAATCAAATATTGATCACATTATCCTAGATAACTTAGGAGACAAGTGAATGACTCTGATGGGGAAAATATTGACATTTTGAGTGCTTGACAATCCAGCAGGGTTTCTAAATGTCTAGTAGTCTAAATCTAACTGGGATATTCTTCTAATTTAAAAGGCAAATCTCTGCACAGATAACCTAGGGCACAGGAAGAAGCACAGAAATTTTTGGACCCCTTTGCATGTTAGAGAAAACATATTACACACATATTACAACATAGCATGCTGCTATAACTCATTTATAAAATATCACCAAGCTGCTCCAACATTCAGTCCAGACGACCTATTTCATCTATTCAATGGTAACTGATGTACTGGTGGCAAATAAACATGTTCTGCAGAGATTCCTGAAAGCCCCATTAGAAGAATCAAGTAAAGACATCAAGAGTTTTGGAGTGAAGTCATTTTTTTCTTTTCTTAACACTATTTTTGGTTAGTTGGTTGACTGGTCAGTTGGTGGATCTGTCACTCAGTATGTTGGTCAGCTGATTGGTTTACAACTGGTTTCTGACAGAAACTGCACATTTGACCATAAGCCAGCAAGTGATTCTGAGACCTGAGATGCCCATGAGGAGCTAAGTGCTATATGATCTGCCAGGCTGTAAGATCAGGCTTGTGTTGAAGCAATATAACATCAAGGGGAAGTGAACTACTGGAAATGAAGCTCAAGCAGATGGAAAAAGCACAAGATGCCTGGAAGGTAGCCCAGACTCACTAAGCACCTATTCCTATGCTGCACCGCCCCCCCCCCCCAACTTCAATCAGAATTTATGACCTCATGGGGAAAGATTAGTTGATGAAAGGTAAATAAAATTCAGGTTGTGAAAGGAAAATCAAAATGGTATTTCCAAGAGAGCTTTCTAAAATGGAGCCAGGAGTCTGCTGAGGAAGTGTGATGCATGCATATTTCAGCCTGGATGGAATCTGACCTTTGACCACATATTGTCTTAATATAGGCACCCAAAATATCTGACCAATGATACTCATCTCATCCTTACCCCAAATAACTTGTGACAGACTATCCACTCATTGAGCCCTAAAATAAAATAGAATTGAATCCTGAAATAGCCCTTAAGGATATTTCCTTTCTTTCATCAGAATCAATCATAATTATTTCCAGACAACTTTAACAACCTTGGTGGCTTTTGTCTTTATATGCCCTTGACTCTTAGGCCACCTTCAACAGTTTCATCCAAATCTGTGTCTCTGAAATTGCAATTCCTAAAAGCAAAATAAACTCTTTTCTTATTTGCAGACTTCTGCATTGTTTGGTTAAAAAGTCTACCTTACAATAAGAAAGGATAAATAAAATTCAGGTCTAGTTAATGGATGCTGCTCTCTGCTAAGTCACTGCAGTTGTGTCGGACTCCTTGCAACCCAATGAACCAATGAAGCCCGCCAGGCTCCTCTGTCCACAAGATTCTCCAGGCAAGAATACTGGAGTGGATTGCCATGCCCTCCTCCAGGGGATCTTCCCAACCCAGGGATCAAACCCACTTCTCTTATGTATCTCCAATTGGCAAGTGGGTTCTTTACCATTAGCGCCACCTCGGAAGCCCCTATTTATGGATAAGTCTGCACAGTATATAGGCCTCAAGCAGAAATATACTATCACAGCAATTAAGTTCCATTCAGGAGTGGCAATAAAAAATGTGTAAAAATCAATGCTAAGTAGGCTCAAGCGCAGGACCTCTGGTTGTTCAAGAAATTAACCTATTATGAGCTTATGCTTATTCATAGGAAATGGCTAATGGTGACTGAGCAGTCAAGAGTATAGGAACAGAGTTCGAAAGACTGGTGACATAGAGGTCTACTCAATGATCAAGATAGATTCTTATAAAACTTTTGGTTTTGATAAGCCCCCTCACTGTTCCTGAGTCATTTTGTAACATTTCACCTGCATGGTCTTAGTTTGCAAGGGAATAAAACATGTTAAGTACTGGGTTTGGTCTTGGTTTTCCAGTATCAAGGTCATTTTGGTGGTGAAACTGCCATAACCTTTAGGAACTTAAGATCTTCCTTGCATAGGTTTTACTATAAGAACCACCATAGCCAAAGCATGTGGCACTAATGGTTTAGCTGCTAAGTAGTGTTCAACTCTTTGCAACCCCATGGATTGTAGCCCACCAGACCCCTCTGTCCATAGGATTTCCCAGGCAAGAATACTGGAGTGGGTTGTCATTTCCCTCTCCAGGTGGTATTCTCAACCCAGGGATAGAACCTGTGTCTCCTGCTTGGCAGGTGGGTTCTTTACTACTGAGCCACCTGGAAGACCAACCAATGCATATGAATTTCTCAAATGCAAGAAATGACTACTGATCACTATAAATATTAAAACTGAAAAAAGAAAACTACCCCCCCATAAAAAATCACAGCTACTTTACATGCAAACATTGTGCTAACTGTATTGCTACTGTAGCACATAGCCAGCAATAGCGCAGTTCTTTATCCCTTGCTTATAACCCAACTGAGGAGAGGATGAGGCAAGTAAGAGGACTATTCCAAAAGGAAATAAACTGATTTATATTACAGAGAGTAAATCTATGTAAAATACTAAATTCTCCAAAAGGCATTGTTAGAAATAATTGTTTGAATTAATAAATACATAATTCTGAATTTCAGTTCAATTAAAAACTACTGAGAAACTAATATTTGCCATTGTACTGGTCAACTGAATACCAAAATAAATGTTCCCTCCAGCATTAAACAGTTTTTAGTTTAATCACCAATTAACCAAACGGATACTAATGAAGGCTTTAACAAGTGAAATAATGATGGGCACAGTATAGAAATGTGAGTTACAGAAGCAAGCCACTAAATCAACGCTTATAATTTTGAGTCAACAGATAGCAATTTTCAGCATTCAAGATAAAAGGTATTGACATTATTTTCTTTTAACAGATACCTAATATTCAGTAACAGTTATCACATCTTTATATGAACACTCTTTGTCTTGCATTCTGTCCAATATAGTAGTCATTAGCTACATGTAAAACTTTAACTAAAATTAATTGAAATTATGTAACATTAAAAATTCAATCCTCAGTCACACTGCTGCTGCTGCTGCACTAGCCACATTTCTTTCTTTCTTTATTTATTTTGTGGTAAGATCACTTACCTACCATGAGATCTACCCTCTTTATAAATTCTGAACTATATAACTCAGTATTGTTTACCACAAGGAGGGGGAAATAGGGAGCTACTATTCACTGGGCATAGTTTCACTTAAGCAAGATGACTCAGTGTTACAGACTGCCGTACCACACTGCACACTGGCCACATTTGCAGTGTACATGATCATATGTGTGTGAGGCAGGCCGTATTGTGTTATAAAAAAATATCCCTCATCTTAGGGGTTTTGGTCTTCTGAGTTGAACCTGTCTTCCTAGTTAACAGAATAGGAGGAAGCATGGAATTTTGAAGGTAATTAATGTTGATCTTTTGCTTCTTCATTAGTGTATTTTGTTCCACTTAATTGAAAACATTCCATTCTGTTGTAAAATTAATGGCTTACTTTCTTTCTGGTTGTAAAACAAATGTCTTACTTTCTTCTGTTGGCAAGTGTCTCTTCACCGTTTCTTATAGAGATCTTCATTCCATGCTTCTCTTTGCTTCCATCAAAAGAACAACGGGGGCTTTGTGTGGGTGTTCTGACTGGACGGCCACAAATCTTATTTACCTTTTAAATAGAAAATATTAAAGACAGTTAGAAACTATGCTCCAGCCTTTCTGAGAATGTAATTTTTGCCAGAGTTTAAAGCAATGACATATTCTTTCTTACACCACAGTATTAACCTTTAAGACATACAAAGTTTGCTAATTTTTAAAGTAGAGAGAATCAAATCATCTATATAAAATGGCAATCATAATAAATTAATGTTATACACGTTTATACAGTTTGTACGTATGCAAATATAAAATACATGAATAAAACATATATATGAAAAATCAGAGAACGGCATTAATAAACTAGCCTGCTTGTATAAACAAAACTATTTAACCAAAGTAGATATTATTTATGGTTTATATTCATATCAATGACTAATCACATACCTGTACTAAGTTTCTTAATAAAGTAATTCACTATTGAACATGTGGTCTAGTTCTATGTGAGTTCTAAGGGTAGTTTTCTTCTTAAAATCTTTCTTAGAAAAAGCAATAAATATGCTTATATGAGATTTCATTTTGTAATAGTTGTATATCTTCTTCCTCATTCTAGTTTGAATTCAAGGGAGTTATTCATGGTTTCTTTTAAAAAAATTACTTATAGAACTGAAAATTTTATTTTTTAATATTCAGTTCAGTCACTCAGTCATGTCCAACTCTTTGCAACCCCATGAATTGCAGCAGGCCAGGCCTCCCTGTCCATCACCAACTCCCGGAGTTTACTCAAACTCATGTTCATCGAGTCGGTGATGCCATCCAGCCATCTCATCCTCTGTCGTCCCCTTCTCCTCCTGCCCCCAATCCCTCCCAGCATCAGGGTCTTTTCCAATGAGTCAACTCTTCGCATGAGGTGGCCAAAGTATTGGAGTTTCAGCTTCAGCATCAGCCCTTCCAGTGAACACCCAGGACTTACTTATCTAATAAAGATCTTCATATAACTTATGATATTATAACTGAAAATTAAGTAATTAATTGGACACATTATCATGTAAAGCATAAAAAAAAAATTCACAAGATACCTTATACATTCAAAAAGTCACAGTAGTATATAGTTAAAAATACATAAAAGCATTGCCTCTGAATCAAGAGACTTTGGTTCATGTCCTAATATTCCCTTCTTCATTGCTGAGATCTTAGTAACAGTGACAGACCTTTAAAGAACTTTATTCTCTTATATGTAATATGAAGAACTTAGAATAAATTATTCAAAAGTTCTCTTAAAGTGTAAATTAAAAAAATTTTTTCATGAATGAGCATTAAAGCAGTTATGTATCACCTCATTTATTTAAACCATAATTATATTGTTTCAATATGTGCAAAGATCATGTAGTAGATGTTGTAGGAGACAAAAGATTAGAAATTGAATTCTCCCTAAAAGAGCTGACAGTTTAGAATGAAAGAAAAAAATCCTCCCATACATCAATATGCACATGTAACTTAGAACAAGTCCTTGCCTTACCAGGCTCCAGCCCACCCTGCCAATGCAAAAACTTCAGAAAATCCTGAAAAAAGCCCTTGCTCATGCTTGGTTTGGCTCCAGTCCTCCTGCCAAAGCCACTGGGCACACATGGTCAGCATAGGGATACTCCCAGACAAGACCTTACCTTCAAGAGCAGGAGAGGCAATTATTTCACCTAAATTATAGAGACAAACAAAAAAAAAGCCAAACAAAATGAGAAGACAGAGAAATATATTCCAAATGAAACCATAAGATAAAATCCCAGAACAACAACAACAAAAAATCTCTAATAAAGTGGAGACAAGTAATTTACTTATTAGAATGTTTGAAGTAACATTTCTAAAAAATCTCATCAAACTCAGGAGAGGGCTAGAGGAACACAATGAGAATTTCAACAAAGAAATTGAAAATGTAAAACAAATATTATATGTAATATACACAAATATATGTACATACACACACATACAAACCTCATGGTAAGCAAAAAACTGAAATGGATTAGTTCAGCTCAGTTGCTCAGTCATGTCCGTCTCTGTGATTCCATGGACTGCAGCATGCCAGGCCTCCCTGTTCATCACCAAACCCTGGAGTTTACTCAAACTCATGTCCATTGAGTCGGTGATGCCATCCAACCATCTCATCCTCTGTCATCCCCTTCTCTTCCTGCCCTCAATCTTTCCCAGCATTAGGGTCTTTTCAAATGAGTCACTTCTTCACATCAGGTGGCCCAAATATTGGAGTTTCAGCTTCAGCATCAGTCCTTCAAATGAATATTCAGGACTAATTTTCTTTAGGATAGACTGGTTGGATCTCCTTGCAGTCTAAGGGACTCTCAAGAGTCTTCTCCAACATCACAGTTCAAAAGCATCTGTTCTTTGGTGCTCAGCTTTCTTTAGAGTCCAACTTTCACATCCATACATGACCACTGGAAAAACCATAGCCTTGACTAGATGGACCTTTGTTGGCAAAGTAATGTCTCTGCTTTTTAATGTGCTATCTATGTTGGTCATAACTTTCCTTCCAAGGAGTAAGCGTCTTTTAATTTCATGGCTGCAGTGTCACCATCTGCAGTGATTTTGGAGCCCCCCAAAATAAAGTCTCTCACTGTTTCCACTGTTTCCCCATCTATTTGCCATGAAGTGATGGGACCAGATGCCATGATCTTAGTTTTCTGAATGTTGAGCTTTAAGCCAACTTTT